CATTATCTTTATCATTATCATTATCTAGATTACTATTATTATTAGTAGTAGTAGTTGTAGTATTAGCATCATTATTATTACATAAGCATCTCATGTTATGTCTAGACATCTTCCAATAGTCTAAGATACTAGAAAAAATAAATAAGATAAGATAAGATAAGATAAGATAATACTTTATTATCCCAGAGGGAAGATAAAGATGAGGAGAAAAAAGATTACTAGAGGAGAAAGTAGCTATACTGATGGACTGATAGTGGGTAGTCTATTTTGTAAAAGTGATCCCATTGGTTGATCATTAGTTACAGTGTGTACGTGGACGTGAACCTCGTCTGTAAACTATAGCAGACTTCGGTTATAACAGAGATTCTACGTTGGTCCCGGAGGTCCTGTTACAGATGTGGACCACTGTATTTCTATTCGTTCGTTTTGTTTTCGTATGTTGAAAAAATGGAGACTGACATTGTATCTCTCATTATCAATATCATTTCTATTGTGGACACACCAAACAGATGATCAAGTGGTTCGGACACCTTACACGGATGCCTTCAAACTAACCAGCTCTGAGGGCATACAACACCAGATATTCTGGCTTGAGAGCCAGAAAGAAACCAAGACGACGTTGGAGCGAATCTGTTGCAGACAACCTCAGAGATCACGAGATGTCCCTCCTGCAGGCCACACGCTTGCCAACAGACAGACGCCTGTGTCTCTTCGCGACACCCACCAGTACGAGCGGAAGAAAAAAGTAAGTAAAGTAAATGGAAACACTTTTGGGGCCTTTCGCTGAAGGACCCACGTGAACTTTGGCACACTTTTGAATATTTTCTTTATTCTTTAACTCATATTGAGTGTTTTATATTTGGTTTATTTGGTTAAAAAAGAAAAACTTTTTCCAAGTAAAGCACATATTTAAGGTGAAGGTAACGAAATCTCATTTGGCAATAGTGCAAGTACAAATGTTTCTCTGCTGTTTGTATAGGTCAGAGGAAAACCATGGCGACGGCATAAAAATGACTATTTTGTGTCCAAAAAAAGCAACACGACAAAAAGGTAACACTTGAAAAGAGTCTAGCTAAAAAAATAGTAATGTCGCCCCTGGTCTCATTTAAAGAATAAAGTTTATATTGCATTGTGCCATTCTTAAGATTCCGTGTAACATTTTTGGGAATGAAAATACTGTCTTTAAAAAAGCGTAATAACCTTTTGGTGTTTTTTTTCATTTCTTTTTGTATTTAAATTTCCTTTTTACATTTTACATAATTATAAACATCAGTTTTTTAAACTTTGACCCGGCGGGGTTGTTGCTTTTTTTCACCATTATCATCACCATGTATCCTATATACGTGATCATTATTAGAAATAGCAGCAGCAGATTTATCATCATCATTATCAAAATGTTCCTTTGTGGTAACATTTTGATGGCTTTTATTCTCTTGAGATGTACAACACACAATAACCCTAGCTCAAACATAGGGCGCTGCACAGTAGGAGTAGCGACCAGCAAAGGTGTATGGATTAATGTGATACTGTGTATTATTCATGCATGTATGTATTAATATTATTATTTGATTGTGTATTAATGTACGCCACTGTTAGATCGGTTAAGTGGAGTATTTCTATGTTTCTTTATTATTTGTTTCAATCCAAACAATTAATAGCAAGACTGTCGCCAGTTAGTCACGACTGTACTGACGACCGAAAGCAATATTATGAAGGTCTAAGCTCTAAGATCCAGGTTGTGGTGCTAAAGGCACTCGAGTGCGGCTTGTTGTTCTCTATTGCGAATCGAAATATACAACAACAAAAGTCTTAGCAGCATTTGAGGTATCATTCCTACTCTAAGATATCGAACAAGGCGGGGGG